TGAAGGGGGATCAGTGAGGGTTTTTCATAGAAGGCAGGATTTGAACTGAGACTTGAAGGCCGCCAGGGAGGGGAGGAGGGAGAGCATTCCAGGCCTGCGTACAGTCAGACTACAGAGACAGCATGGAGCTGTGATTTCAAGACTCCATTCACTCTCTCCATGTGAGTGGAGAGACTTGATTAGACGTTATCCTTCAATCCAAAATCTGGTGGCTGTTGTCTGTTGACCTCCAGCATACTCTGCTTCTTCCTCAATGGGCACAATGTGTGGGGCACAGTCTTTTTCTCCTGTCCAACCTTCCTCAAGCTCTAACCTTTGAGTTCCTCAGTTCCCTTATTTCCTCTCCAGATTTATCCGTATTAAATTTTCTCTTCTTAGATTTGGCTCGACGTTCGAGGAAGTCCATCACCTTGAAAATCCTGATCCTATCTTTCCCCCAGAGTTTAGCTCTCCTCTCAATTTTGTGTCATCTGCCTTTGACCAAATCATTGATAAAAATGTCAAATAGTGCTGGGCCTGGCATGGATCTCCCTTGGAGACATCCTTTCATGGAACCATTAATGACAGTCCTTTGGATCTCATAATTCAATCAGTCCTGATTCCACCTAATTATGTTTTCTGTATCTTTCCATCTTTCCCACAAGAATAACTTGAGGGAATGTATGTGCTTTGCTAAAATTGACAGCATTCCCTTGCTCTAGTAATCCTGTCCCGAAAAGGAAATAAGGTCAGTGTGGCATGAGCCATGATGACTCTTTGGGACTATCACTTCCTTTTCTAGGTGTTCATTTATCTCTGTGATAATGTATGCTCATTCAATAAGTGGATGAATATCTTCTCAGATTTTTCCAGGAATCAGCCAGCCTCACTGGTTTCTAATGTACTCACTCAATTTTCTTCCTTTTTCTGTAGATCAGGACATTTTCCCTCCTCCCAGCCTGTACCCCCCTCAGGATTTTCTCCATACTCTTTCAGAAATCAGTGATAGGCTCAGCAATCCCATCTGCCAGTTCACTGAGAACAACTAACTCGATGCTCTTCCTGTGGTACCAGCTCCCAATGAACCTTCTCTAGCTGTTCTTTTCATTGCAAAGATCCTATTTCCTATTTCTTGGTAGGGCCAACATGCAGTGTAAGAGGCAAGCAGCTGGGCCCTCTCTCTGCTGTTGCTCCCATCACCCGCCCCCCCCCAGCACTGAGCAGAGGTGGTGCCCCTCTTTGAGCCTACCTCTTCAGTGACTCTTCTGAGCTTTTCTGCCCAGTCTCAGCTCATTCTGTGCTTTAGCACTTACATCTCTGTTGTGACAGGACCTTGCCATGCCTTGTATTACTTGCCTTTATTTGCAAGGGCAGAGGACAGGAGAGGACATTCATTTTAAGCTGTTGAGATCATTGTGAAAGGTCTTGGAAGGTTTGGAGATACTTGTAAACTGTAGAGGGCCATTTTAAATGGTGGAACCCATTGTAAAGAGTAGGAGACAATGTAAATAGTGAAGAGATATGTAAACAGTGGAGGGTTTGGTGAGCTGTAGAGGGCTTTGTGGATGGTAGAGGATGTCTTGGAGAAGGTAGCAACAGAACTGGGCCTGGATGGACAGCATCAGGATAGGTAGGGGTGGGGGAGGAGGCAGAGAGGAATCTTCTTATAATATGTTGGGGAGCTGGGCAGGGCCAGCAGGTGACAGGAAGGAGAAGACGAGGCTAGCGGCGTTGGTTGGGTCCAGTCGATGGAGGGTCCTTGGAGTTGTTTGGATTAGATCCTGTGGGTCAGAGAGAACCAGGGAGAGCCTCTTGGATGGGGAAGGACAGTGAAGAAAGTAGCTGTTTAGGAAGATGAAACTGAAGACCAGCCTTAAAGACTAGATCAAGTCTAATCCTCTCATCTTACACAACAAGAAACTGAGGAAACCGGGGCGGGGGGGGGGGGGGGGGAAGCCCCAGGTCAGACCTTTCATTCAGGCTTCCTGACTCTACCCAGGGTTCTTTCTCCTCTGCTCCCTGCCCCTCACCTAAGGAGGTGCTCATTCATTTACTCATTCACTTTTCCTACTCATTCTTTCATTCACTCCCTTACTGCTTCATTCATTCTTTGTTCAGCCCCTACTGTGTGTAGGACCCTGTGCTGGTGGTATGGGGGGAGGGTATGGGGGGAGGTGGGGAGGAAAGGCAAGGCTAATTCTGAGCTGGGCCCTGCCCTCTGGGAATTCCTCAGCTAGCATTCTTAAGAGTTTCTACCCTTGGGCTCTGTGAGGGAGTGTATGTACCCAACCAGCCAGCAGAATGTGAGTACCTACTGTGTGCAGAGGCCCCTGCTGGGCATTCTGGGAGTGGTTTGCAGGACTGCTCTGCAGTGTTGCTTCATGGTTTTGGCCCATGTAGCTTGGCCTGACCAACCGTAGGTTTCCTCCCTCCTTCTCTGTCCTCCTCTGTTCTTCTCCCTTGGCCCAGCTTGGCTCCCCTGTTGGGCTCTGGGCTCATGGCCAATGATGGGGTGGAGAGGCAGTGACATCAGCATTGCTGGGGACAGCCAAGGATGGAGGCAGCTGGGGACGGTGGGGGCTCCTGGGAGGAGGTGAGAAGGAAGGAGGCGACCCTGCACTCTCGCTCTTTTCTGCAGCTGCTGGAGAAGAGGCAGGTGATACCCACACCCTCTGTCTGGAGGTAGGGACACACCCTGCCTGGTCTGGGGCCCGGGGGCACTAGAGGGCTGCAGCCTGGAGCTGCCTCTCCCACCTTGAGGGTGAGGAGAATGGGGGGGGTTTCTTTTCCCTCATCCATAACCTGTGGAGAAGGAAGGGGAGGTGGGAGGAAGAGAGGAGGCAAAGAGAAGGAAAAGCGGCCCCAGTCTAGCCCAAATGACTTGACTAGATGATGTCAAAGACCCTTCTAGCTCTCTGCTAGCGATGCCATCTAGTAGATTGAAAAAGCACCAGTTGGGCATTCAGGAGACCTGGACGTTTTTCCTCTGGTCCCAAGGAGGCTGTTGCCCACTGGCTGTGGGATCTCTCTGGATCTCTGTTTCCTTCTCGAGAAAAGAGGAGGTCGTGGAGACTAGATGATCCCCGAGGCCCCTTCTAGCGCTAAGAAATGATGACTCCGTGATGTTCCTGGGGAACGAGCCCACATGCAGAGGAGTTCAGTCTTTGAGCTGTGGGCCCCTGGGGGACAGGAGCGCTCTCCAGAGACCTTACCACAGAGGAGGCGGTTCAGATGGCCAAAAAGAACAGGTGTTTCAACTGAGCAGATGCTGATCCCCAGCCCGAGGATGTGTGCAGTGGAGGGGGAGGGGCAAGGCAGCCCAGGAGAGGGGGAGGATGGGGGCCAGGCCCTCCCTCTGAGTCCGCACTGTGATGATGGGAAGGCGCGAGGTGCTTTGCATGTGCTGATGTCTCTGTTCCCCTGTTGGAGCCCCCATTGGCAGGGCGGGGACTGGCTTTTGCTCTGGTCTCTCTCTGGGGTTCCAGTTCCTCTCCCAGTGCCTGGCAAAGAAGAGACACTTAGAGAAGGCTTGTGGGATCAAGGGCTTGAATCTGAAGGCTTTCCTGCTGGGGCCCTCTGGGACACTCACTAGGAGACAGTTGGGTGACAGAGCAGTCGAAACCTAACCTGACCCTAGGCTGCATTCACAGGGACATGATTGATGCCCATGACGAGAAAGGCGAGAGTCTCTCTAGCCCCTCTGCACCCTCCTAGGGCATCTGTGCCAACTTGTACCTGACCAGGAAGCCTCTGGGCGTGGGCAACTCCTAGGACCAGGCCAATTTCTCCCTCAAAGAGCAAATGAGATGATGTATGGGAACTGCTTTGCCATCCTCGAAGACTCACGCAGCGAGAATTGCTATAGTATGACCTGGGCCTGCTCAAAGCCCAGCTGGAGTAGTGAGCCTAGGTCACATGGCGCAGTTTTTGGAAAGACACCGACAAGCTGCAGTGTGGGTAGGGCAGGGCAGTTGGGATGGCGAGGGGGCTAGAGGCCTCTCCACATGAGGAGCAGTGGGGGTGTGTAGTCTGGAGAGAAGATGGGGTGTGTGTGTGCGTACGTGTGTGCGTTGTGCACACCAGTGTCTGGGATTATGGGCTTTGTCTTCAAGTGTGCCAAAGTTTGTCATATAGAAGGGGAACCAGCTTTGTGTTGCTTGGCAGCCCCATGAGCAAGGTGGGTGGAAGGGTAGGCATCATAAAGCTGTAGATGCCAGCTGGACGTGAGGAGGCACTTTGTAATAGTCAGAGCTGCTCAAGGGGAGTTAGGAAGTGGGGTCCTTCCTCATATGTGGGATGTTCTAGAGGGAGGGAATCCCCATTCAAGGCCAGGTTGGCCGGGCTGCCATCTTGGAGATCACTCCCTGCTCTGCAGTTCTGTGTGCTGCTGTTTTGGGGTTGTCCACATAGTCGGGCCTATGTGGGCTCAGATCCTGCTGTCGGTGCTTCCTCTCTGTGTGACCTTGGGCAAAGCCCTTTCATCAGGTTTTTATGCACAGGAGACAGGACCTGCCTCCCCCCATCCCTTTGCAGGCTCATTTTGAGTCAAGTGCTTTGGAAACCATAAAACCGGGAGCTCTTATTAGGATTATGGGTATCTAGGCTCGGATCCAGGCTCAGCAGGAAGGGCCCTTCCAGCCGCTCCCGCTGGGTTTGCAGATACTGCTCGGGCAGTCGTCAAATGTTAGAGGAGCGCCAGCAAAGACAAGCTTGGCCACAGAAGGCCGTGCAGAGGGGAGTCCCAGCTGGATTCTGCCCACCCACCTGGGTTCTACCTTGAACGTTTCCCTCTCCGTGACTCGGTTGCCTCATCTGCAAAGTAACAAGGTCGGACTGCAGGTCTGACATTGGAAGGTCAGAGTTCTTTGGGCCCCTCCCTGCAGCATTGACATTTTGCGACCCGGCGATCCTTCCAACGAGGATGGCCCCCAGCTCTGGCATTCTGTGCTCTGACACACTGTGGCTAACTCACTCTCTTCCCTCTTCTTTCAGGAGACTGTGCAGTACCGGTCCCACTGACCATGTCTGACAGTGCAGATAGTGAGGAGAAGCCCCCGGCTCCTCCGCTGAGAATGAACAGCAACAACCGTGACTCCTCGGCCCTCAACCACACCTCCAAGCCCCTGCCCGTGGCCCCTGAGGAGAAGAACAGGAAAGCCCGGCTCCGCTCCATCTTCCCTGGAGGAGGAGATAAAAGTAACGTATTGGTGGCTGCTCCCTTTTCTGTCTTTGTGAGTTCAGGGTTTCCTGGGGCGGGTAGGTTGGGCTTTGACCTAGGACGGCAGCTCTGTCATTTTGTGAGAGGAGGTTTGGCACAGGGGACACGAGAGGCCCAGCCTCGACTACCAGTTTGGTCTCTAACACTTGCCGGGTGACATTGTTCACAGGGTCTCAGTTTCCCCCAAATGTAAAATGGAGATAGCGATTATGGCAAGTATGAGCAGAATACAAAGTGCTTTGGGTTTGGAGTCCAGAGAGCTAGGTTTGAATGTTGCCTTGGGAACTGACTACCTGTGTGACCTTGGGCAGGTCACTTCCCCTTATATTAGGCCAGAGTTTCCTTCTCTACAAAATGAAGGGTTGAACTTGAAGATTCCTTCTAGTTTGAAATCCTATGGTCCCTCCATGGCATAGTTTTAAAATTTATCTTTTTTATTAAAAATATTTTTTGTATCACATTCATTTCTGAATATATCCCTTCCCCCCCCCCCCCCCCCCCCCCCCCTCAGCCATCTCCGGCAAGAAATATTTACGTGCAAAGTAACGCAAAGCAAAGCTGACAGTACGTGTGATGTTCTGTACCCATAGGCCCCCACCTCTGCCACATTTCCTCAGTTGTTCTCAGGGCCCAAGCTTGGCAGTCATGATCAGACAGTGTTTGGTTTGCATTGTTTTCTGTAGTCTTTACCTTTCTGTGGTTGTGGTCACTGCATATTCAAGGCTGGCCATGGCCACCAGGCTCCTCCCCTCTCCAGCTGCCTCTGCTTGGAGCCCTCCAGGGACGGGCAGCCAATCACTGCTCGCTCCTGAGGCAGACCCTGGCCATTCAGAAGAGCTCTCCTCCTTGGGGACTTCCACCACTCAACCTAAGTTCTGTCCTCTGGGACCAATCCTTCTTCAAGATGGCTTCGTCTGGCATTTCAGCCAGGAACCATGTCGCCACTGCCCTCAAGGTTGTAATTGACCTCTCTCTGCCTGTTAGAAGGATTAAATGAGAGAATATGACTCAATTTAATTCATTTCAACAAACATTGCTTAAGGAATAATTATCTTTCCTCCTTCCAACTCCTAAAATGTCAGATCCGGATGGGAATGTAGAGATAATTTCATTTGTAGGGAAACTGAGACCCAGGGGCTAGGGATGGGGCTTGCCAAAGGCCATACAGTTCATCAGGGCAGAAGGAGTAAATTGAGCCTCAGGGAAGGGAAGAGATTCCCTCCCCCTCTACCCTGGTTATACAGCAAGAAGTCAGGTCCCTCCGACCTAGGGATCCTTACTTCCTATCCAGGGCTCTTTCTGATTCTTCGTGACATGACACCTCAATAAACAGGGAGTCCTGTTAGGTTGTGGTGTGGATGGGGTACAGGGAGCTGGGTAGATGGAGGGTGACCAAGGGTGTCTGAATCCCCAGGGATTGTTCATTTATTCATTCATTTCGTTCATTCAACAAACATGAATTCAACAGCTACTGACTTCAAAGTGTCCCCTTCCTTCCCCAGGGCACCCCTCTTTTCTAGTGAGATGCTTTGGGAGAAGAGGGAGTGGTAGGATTGGTACTAGAGAGCTGGTCCCATGAGGGGCTGGGTGAATTTTCCAAGTGCCAGGCCCATGTCCAGCATGCTCTATATGTTTTGTAGAGGGCGCTAAGTCTAAATTGGGGGGGGGCAGTTGAGTGGAGCAGTAGATAGAGCGCTGGGCCTAGACCTTTGTTCAAATCCAGCCACAGACACTTCTTAGCTGTGTGATCCTGGGCAAGTCACTTCACGTCTGTCTGCCTCAGTTTCCTCAATTGTAAAATGGAGATTGTAGCAGCCCCTACATTCCAAACGAGATCATATTTGTAAAAGTGCTTAGCACAATGCTTGGCACATAGTAGGTGCTGTATCAATGCTTATTCCTTTATACCACTAACATAGGTGAGGAAGTATAGTGTGATAGTGTGTGATGCCCAGGGATCCAGCCCTGTGCTGTGTATGCAAGTTGGCACATTCTTTTTTTTTTTTTTTTTTTTTGCTTAGGCAGTTGGGGTTAAGCGACTTGCCCAGGGTCACACAGCTAGTAAGTGCCAAGTGTTTGGTCTGAGGCCGGATTTGAACTCAGGTCCTCCTGACTTCAGGGCCAGTACTCTATCCACTGCACCACCTAGCTGCCCCCGAGTTGGCACATTCTTTAGACACTGGCACAGTGGAAAGGGGTGGAACAGGGCTGGCTTTGACATCTGACCTGGGATTGACTCCTGGCTCTGCCACTTAGAACCCATGTTCTAATTTGGACTAAGTCACTTCACCACCCTGGGCCTCGGTTTCCTGCCTTGTAAAGAGTTGGGTTAGTTGGCCTCTCAGGGCCTTTGGAGTTCCAGATCCTTGGTCCTAGAATGCCAAGTCTATTTTCTCTTCCCCATGTTAGCTCTTGAGATATTCAAAAATGGCTACCGTTTGGGCCACCCTCCTCGTCTTCTCTAGGCAAACACTCAATGCGTTTACCCATTACTTGAACAAATATTTATGAAATGCTGACTGTGTGCAAAGCCTAATCCCTCACCTCAGATATCACATCCCCCATTCCCAAACCCCAAGTCATCTCTTCTCTAGGCCCCAGTTTGTACTTTATTAGCAGAGGAGGAGCCCCCAAGATGTATAAGGCGTAGTCCCTGCCCTCAAGGAGTTTATAGTCTTGTAAGAAGGAGCAGACAAGGACACAACCATAATGTAAATGACTATGCCACATCTAAGATGAGAGCTGGTCACTTAGGGAGAGCTCATTGGAGGACAGGAGGCCGGTCCCTTGCTTTGTGCTCAGAGGCACATATCCATTCAAGAGGAGATAAAAAAAGGGGTGAAGAAGAAATGAGGCTTCCCTTCCCGTTCCGTCACCGATGTCATAGTGATGTGAGAAATGAGCAGGGAGGCGTGAGAAGCCTAGTCCAACCTGTCATTGGGGTTCAGGCCCAGTTGTAGGGGACTCCCGCCCTCCAAAGACATTGCCCATTGCATTGTGGGGCAGCTCTGAGTGATAGGAAGTTCTTCACTCTTTCACGCCCAAACCTGCCTCCTATGACCCCTCAGAAGCTCAAAGCAGGAGGGAAGTTTAGATGGGCACCTATTGCAAACCGTACCATAACAAAGGGTCATTGAGATTCTCCATGGGGCACTCAAGCGCTGGGGAACTATGGCCTCTCAGGCAGCCCATCCTACTCTGGGGAAGCTGATCTCCATGTTAGCAGGTTTTCCTTAGATGGAGGTGGTATTTCTCTGCCGTCCCCCCATTGTTCTAGTTCTGGCCTAACTTTCCAGTTGTCTGACTTGCTCATTTCACATGACCTCTTCCTCCACCCTGCCTGTACTGCACTCAACGATGGTCATGCCCTTGATGTTGCGTCACTCACAATGTTCTCCCTCCATGTTCATGAAATTCCTTTATCAGATCATAAGGTTGTTTTCTTTTATCATTCCATCTTTCCCTCTATTCTTTATCCTCCCTGTGACCTCCATTTCCTCTATCCCCCAGTTTTTGCCCAGGCCTTCACCCCTTCACTGCCTGTACTCTGATCCTCTCCATATCTTGATGCACCAGTTTAACTCTATACCATCTTCTACCCTCAAGTCCTTTGCCCTGATGCCCTGTAGCTGATCAGGTTTTGTCAAGGCCCGACCCTGGATTTCTGCCACCATCGACAGCTTTTGCTTCTACTGATGTACTGCTGAACAGAACTGGGTCCACTAAAAATTTATGTTATATAATTTCAACTGGGCCCTCACTGCAGCAAGGCAATCCTTTTATACTTCCCTCATTAACTCACTATTGCGCTCATCACAACTGTACAGTCCTCTGTTTGACTTTTAAATGTCTTCGTAATGCAGTGCCCTCCCATGAGCCCAGTCTTCTGATGCCTTCTGTCCCTCTTCCATCCAGTGACCCTGGCCTCTGTCCCCTGACTCTGCAATTTCCTGGTCACGTCAAGTCTTTTCTTCTTCATCTGGGAGCTCAGTAGGTCACAAGTGATTAATCTTCTTTGCCAACATGCACCAATCTGGTTGGAGTCTTGGGAGTGTGATAGACTGGTGGCCCCTGGGAGCTCAGACCCCTAAGGGTAATCGTAGGGGAGGAGAAGTCGGGCCTAGGTGGCCCCAGGGGAGAAAACAGCAAAAGTCTTTCCCCCAGTGCAAGATGGTGGATGGCCACCTGTCAAGACCAAGCCCAGAGTTCATTCCATTCCCACCAACACTTATTAATTACCTACTAGGTGTAAAAAAAGACACCTGATGCTGAATAGTTGGTAATTTGCATTGAAATGAAATGATAGTTTTGGACCAAAACGATTGTGGAAAAGCTCTGCAGAGATGAAAACCAATCTCACTCCTGCTGATCCTCTAGGACAGGCCACAAACAAATCCTTCTGTGAAGTTCGGATTCAGTCAAAGGGCCTCACTTGAGCACCTAGAGGGCCACATGTGGCCTCCAGGCCGAAGGTTCCCCACCTCTGATCTGGGAGCTTCCATCATTGTATATACATGTGAGTGAGGTAGGCCTTCCTTCCCTTCTGCAGAGATGTGGCCATGACACTCCAGACTCTCGAGCAGTGCCTTGTTGCCCACTGAGTCAGCTGCTCTGAAGTCTGGCGCTTTCCCACATCCCTAGCTTTAGCACCTTAGATTCCTTCGATCCATGGGCTCCAAGCTCCCTCTCCACCAGAGTACTCTGTGGCCTGTGAGCCATTTTCTTGTCTTTGCTTATACTCTTCCTTATGCCTGGAATGTCTTCCATCCCTTCTTCACCTTGGAATCCCTACCCATCGTCTCAAGCGCAACTCCCACCTTCTTCGGGGAGCCTGTCCTGATTCACCCTGGCCAGTAACAGCCTTTCCCTTTGGACTGCACATAGAATATTGTTTGCACCTCCCAAGTCCACTTGGCGTTTTCTTCCTGCCCCCTATTTATGTGATCTTTATTTCTTAATGACTCTACCCTCACCCCCCAATTAAACACCTTGTGACAGTAACGAAGACCAACAGTTATTCCAAACCCATCAACACATGGGGCACATCTTGCAAAGTGTGCTCTGTTCAGCTCCTCTTGTCTCCCAGAAGGAACACTTCAGCATCAGGCCTCTGAACTCGGGACTGGTCATTGTGCCTGACACTTAATTATGTAATGTTGTACTCCCGAGCCATCTGTGTTGATCCTGTCTCCCACCTGCTGCTGAAGGCAGGGACTGAGTCCTTTCTATACTTTGTGTCTCTTTCAGGGAGCTCCTAGGGTTCTGTACGTGGTAAGCACTTTAGCTGATTTCATGACTGAAGCCCCTCCCCCCATTCTCGACTATGTTCCATGAGGGCAGAAATCAAGTTATTTCATCTTTTTACCCCTCCTGGAGCCCAGTTCAGGGCTCTGCCCAGCGGGAGTACTTAATAACTGTTTGATGAGTGAATAAATGAATGAATGAATGAACAAATAATTTGGCCAGAAGAGAGAATGGCATGGACAAAGGAGACATTGAGCCTAAATGTGCCAGGGAAAATCCCAAGATCCTGGTGTTGGGAGGACCCCTGAGGCCTTCTTTTATGGAGAAGAGACTTCCCCAGAGGGGGATGTGGACAGGCTTGGTGTCCTGCAGGAGTAAGTAGCCATACCTGAGGGAGAGCACACTTTTAGGTGTGTGTGGGGGCGTGCCTCAGGGTAGGCTGCTTCAAGGGGGCAGCCCCTGAACTGATCTTTTGGCACCCTAGTGTAGTACTTAACATTTACCTTATTAGTTCCATGCTTCAGTATCTCAAAAGGTCCATGCATGGGTCCTTCCACCAATCTAGGCCAGAGCCTCTAGGACTCAGTGGATGGTTTCATGAGTTGCTATGGCCAAAACAACCTTATCCTCTGAGGATCGGCCTTCTGGTAGTGAGCCTCTCAGGCCCAGGCTGGCCTGCTTCACCAGTCACCATTGGTGGATTGTATTCAAAGTCTGTCCAGCTCCACAGGGCTTGGCAGAGCTTAAGCCCACTTGAATTAGGAGAGGGAAAATTCCAGTGGAGGATTCATTATAAACACACACACACACACACACACACACACACACATACACACACACACACATACATACACACACTCATGATTGCATGTATCTTTACTGTGAAATCTTTTTGAGGGAACAGCTCTTTCATTTCAGATACAGATGGCTTGTTCCTTATCATCATTGCCTTCTTGAAAATTAATACAATTTAAGCCCCGACTTTAGACCTCAGGTTATAGAGATGCTAGATTTGGCAGGGAGTGAAGGGTGCCAAGGAAGGGCAACTTGTATGTGGGCCAGTATTGTATTCAAGTCAGAAGAGCTGACTTCAAATCTCAAGTTGGATACTTAGTGACCGGGGGACCCTTTGCAAGTCACTTTCCGACTCAGAGACTCAAATTTCCTCATCTAGATAATAGGGATAATAATCCTGATCCTGTTTCCCTCACAGGGGTATTTTGAGGAATGTGCTTTGTAGAATGTAATGAGTAACATAGGAAAAGGACTTGTGATCATTCTGGTTTTTTCCACTTGATACCAGACTATGGGCTGAGCATTTGTGTGACTGAATCTAATTAATACCAGTTTCTATGGTATAACAGAAAGACCACATGAGTAGAATTTCTCGTCTCCTGTTTTCAAATGCATGTGTGTGGCATAGGAATTAGGGGGACCAAGGCCTTGAGGTGTGCCTATAACATTTGTCCATATCTTGGCTTAGAGTATTGGACTGGCACCTGGGAAGGCAGGGAAAGTCTGACTCTGGGGGGAGGAAGGAATGGAGGGAGGAGAAAAAGGGGATGGATGCAAAACCTTGAGGGGGAAGTGGGGTTGGGTGGGGAGCTGTCAAACGATGCCTGAGTGGGGCCCTTTGGAGCCTCTATGCTTTGGGCAGTGGATGCTTGAGGGTTGAGTGAGCTGTTTTCTCCACTGAGGATGGAGGGTTATTGTTGTCATTCTCAGACATTTCAATAAATCAATAGACAATTATTCAACACCTGCTAAATGCTAGGCATACAAAAAGAGGCAAAAGACAATCCCTGCCCTCAAGGAGCTTACGATCCAATGGGAAAGACAACATGCATCCAAACATATACAAAGCAAGCTGTCTACCCAGGGGCAATAGGAATAATTAACAGAAGGAAAATGCTGGAATGAAGAGGGATGGAGAAAGGCCTCCTGGAAAAGGTGGGATTTGAGCTGGGACTTAGAGGAAGCCAGAGAGCTCAGGAGCTGGAGGTCAGTAGCTGGAGCAGAACACTCCAGGCATGGAGGACAGCCCAAGAAAATCCGGGGAGCTGAGAGATGGAGGGTCTTGTTTATGGAACAGCCCGACGACCAGTGTCACTGGATTGAAGACAATGTGTCAGGAAGTAAAGTGTAGAAAGACTGGAGAGGGAGGATGGGGCAGCTTAGGAAGGGCTTTGAATGCCAAACAGAGCATTTTGGATTTGTTCCTGGAGGTGATTGGGAGCCACTGGAGTTTCTTGACTGGGGGGAGGGGTTTCCACGATCAGCCCTGAACTTTAGGAAAATCACTTTAGTGGCCAAATGGAAGATGGATTGGAAGGGAGAGTGACTTGAGGCAGGCAGACCCCCCAGCAGCTATGGAAATAATCCAGGCATGAGGTGATGAGGGCCTGAATCGGGGGGGTGGGGGGTGGCAGCGTCAGAAGAGTGAAGGGGGCATGTTTGAGAGGTGTTGCAGAGCTGACATCCACAGGTTTAGAGAGGAAGATCGTAAGTTCTGTGTTTGACATCTTGAGTTTAAGCTGTCTACTGGACATCCATTTCGAGATGTCTGGAAGGCAGTTGGAGATGTGAGATTGGAGGTCAGCAGAGAGTTTGGAGCAGGATGGGTAGATTTGAGAATCATCAGCATAGAGATGGTCATTCAATCTGTGGGAGCTGAGGAGATCACCCAGTGAAATAGCATAGAGGGAGAAGAGAAGGGGGCCCAGGACAGAGTGCTGGGAGTCACCTAGGGTCAGAGGGCGTGATCTGGAGGAGGATCCAGCAAAGGAGACTGAGAAGGAGGGGTCAGAGAGGGAGGAGGAGAACCAGGGTGGGGAGTATCCTGAAAACCTAGAGAGAAGAGACTATAAGGGGGAGAGATATCAATCTGGCGATTCTTGGTCAGGTGGGGTTCATCAGAGATGCCCTCTGAACTCCCTTCCAACTTGGAGAGTCTGTGACCATTATTATTCAAAGCTCTAGACAGACCTACCTTGACTTGAGGAGTCAGAGAGTTGATTATGATAATAATCTTTAGCTATGCTGAAAAGACTCATCTTTAGAGACTCGCAAACTTCTTACTTTTAGTGATTTTTAACAGCAAGACTGCTTGGCTTGGGTAAAGGTCAATCCTCCTGGTCAGAGATGTCATCAGATTCAAACCAGAGAAACTTGTTTCTTGTGTGACCTTGTGCAAGTCATTTCCCAGTTGGGCCTTTGGTTTCCTGGTTAGATTCCTTCCTCTCATGGCATTCCAGGTTTCAATCATCCATGTTTTAAGGCCCCTTTTAGCCTATGAGTTTGTGGTGCTGCTTGATCACAACCAACAGTCAGCCCCTGGCCTTTCTCTCTTTTTTTTTCTTTTAGCCAATAAGAAGAAAGAAAAGGAAAGGCCAGAGATCTCGCTTCCTTCCGATTTTGAGCATACAATCCATGTGGGGTTTGATGCCGTCACTGGGGAATTCACCGTAAGTAATTCCTTCCCATCTTCCTGCTCCCCTCCCTTCTCAGAGCACACCTCACTGTGAACTTGAACTGCCTGGGTTTTGGTTTATCCCCCATAATAGTCCGGGCCACGTGATAGCAGGGACTTTGTTGGAAACGGGTTGAGAAGTGAATGGGAGATGGGGATGTGGAGGCACCTAGACAATGATAAGGTCTTAGAGGATGCTAAGAAATTGGCAGGGCAGGAGAAGGCCGATATAGGACAATAGCTTGGGGGATGCAAGGCCAAGTGGAGGATTCCACACCCCCCCCCCACCTCAGGATGGAAGAAACCTTTGTAGGCTTATAGGTGGCAGGGATGGTGCCAGGAGATAGGGAGAAAGCATCCGTCCATCGATGAGAAGGGGTGGATCAGGGAGACAGCTCCAAGGTATGGCCTTCTGCTGTTCTGCCAGCTGCCAGTGCCTCCAAGTATAGCTTGGAATCCTCAAATCATGGCTTCTCCATCCTTCCAAGGACAAGGGAGCCCATTCCATTTTCAGACAACTCTTCCTTCTGCTGGCTGAAAATTGGGCCTGCCACAGTCCTCTCCCATCATCTCTTGTTCTTTCTGCCTGCTCCCTTCCATGGAACAGCTCTCCTACCCAAAAGGCTCTACACCACGGGGTGGCAAATGTGGCCTGTGGGCCATACCAAAATGTAAAAACCATCCTTAACTCACAGGCCAAACCAAAACAGGTGGTGGGCCAGATTTGGTCTGGGAGCCAGAGTTTGCCCACCTCTGCTCTAGACAGTCTTAGATACATGTCTTGGCCCCTCCTTGGATATTTCTGGGGCTCAAACAGAAGAGGAGATTCAAGCGACTGCATGACTTTTGGGCCTGGTATCTTTGCATGGTGGGTGGCTGGACAGGAGAGAGGTGCCGGGAAATAGATGCTCAGGGAAACAGGCCATCACTTTCCATCCCAGTAAGCACCGGATTGCTGTGTCTAGTTCATATTATCACAGACTTAGAGCGAGAACAGACCTCAGTGCCAAACCCCTTATTTTGCAGATGGGTAAACTGAGGTCAATTCAGTTCACATTTATTAAGTGCTCATTATGTGTAACACCCTCTGCTAGGACCAGCAAGGGAAAATGGAGCTGAGGAGACTTAATTCCTGTTAAAAACCTTAAAGCTGAGGAGACTTAATTCCTGTTAAAAACCTTAAAGCTGAGGAGACTTAATTCCTGTTAAAAACCTTAAGGGGAGATAAAGCGGAGACGTGGCCACAAGGTGACAATAAGCCAAGTTAGTAAGTGAATAGGAGGAGTAGCCTGAATGTTGGAGCTTGCTGGGGGTGCTATCAGGGAGAGCTTTATGGAGTAGGAGGTATCCAAGCTGGGCTGTGCAGGAGGGGAATGATTTCAGTGGCACAGGTAGCAGCCTGGATGTCCATCCCACACAAAGTAGAAGATGCCAAAGACATTCGAATTGGTTGGAGTGGTTGCAAAGGTTCTTTCCAGCTTTGCCAGTCTGGGATGCTGTGTCCCTTCCTTTCTCTGAGCCTCAGTTTCCTCATCTGTTAGAGAAGGATAGTACCCATACCACCCACCTCCTGGGAGTGTTGTGAGGAAGCAATACAGAAATGAGAAAGCTATTGTTAGAATTATTATCATCTGGCTCTTCAGACCTTGCCAGTAGGAGGGAATGAATCAGAAGGGGTCATGACAATTGTAGATTTACTGCCAGGAGGGGTCTTGGAGTTCATCCAGCCTACATCCTTTACTTTAAAAACAGCAAACAGGCCCAGGGAGGGCAAGAACCTTCCTCCAGGCCCCTCAGCTGATAGCCAACAGAGCAGGACTCGGACCCAGGCCCCTGACTGCCAGTCCAGTTCCCAGAGAGAGGCAGCATGGATGGCACCTGGAGTCAGGTGGCCTGGCTTTTGCTCTGGCCTTTGCCATTTCCTGGCTGTGTGATCCCTTCGCTTGGCCTCGGTTAGTGTCCACCTCCCCAGACCGCAGTGGGCGCAGCACTTTGGACCTTCAGAGGTTTCCCAAGGGACCTTCTGGCTGTCCAAGTCTGCTATTCTCTGGTGTCGGGAGTGCTAAGCTGGACCCCTGGCTGGGTGCTGGTGCTGGGGGGAGGGTGGGGGTGGCCCGCCATGCTAGTGGCCTCCCAGCTTGCTTACTATCTGCTTTGTTAGGGCAGTCACTTCTTCTGTAACTTGATTCTGATGGTCCCAAAAGTTGGTGGCAGAACTGTTTTACCTTTGGCCCTGGGAGGTTTGGAAAGTACTATGAACCACAGCCTGAGCAAGGAGAGCACATTGAGAGTTTTCCTTTTTACAGGTGAGCAAACTGAGGCCCAGAGAGGGGGAATAACTTGCCCAGGGTAGCACAGCAAGTAAAGGTCAGAGCTGAGATTTTAATCCAAGACTTGACTGTCCCAAGTCCAAAAGTCTTTCCACTATGCCACACTGTAATACATAAGCCTAGCTTTCCATTGGCTGTCCTAATTTGGGGCCCCATCAGGAGGGCCCAATGATTCTGTGGACCCAGACTTATCTCCTGTGGGCCTTCATGGGATCATCCCAGTTCTCAGGGTCAGACTTCTGTCAGATTAGGAGCAGACTTGGGTCAGCTGGCAGCAGTGGGTTGTGGCAGCCATGGTGGTGGTCCAGGAAGACTTAGGCTTTGGAGCCTTCATAGCTGTGTGAGTCTGGGCCTGTTACTTTTCCTTTCTTAGCCTCAGTTCCTCCTCTGTGAAATGGGGAGAATAATAACACCTACCTCACAGGGTTATCAGGAGGCTCAAATGAGATTGTGTCTGGAAAGTACCTCGTGAACTATAAAGCCCTCTAGAGACATCAGGCCTTATTGTGGGTCACACATACTCTTGTGTTTTCCTCCAAACTGTCTGGCTGAGCCCTGGGGCCCTGAGAGTTGGCCTGTCTTAGGCTGAGAATGGGGGCAACTTGGCATTTTAGCTAGCTTATTGCCACCAGTTCAGCTTGGAACCCTCCTTTGGGGACCCACGTGGGTGCCTAGCTTTGGGTCTGGGTTTTCTGACATTAGCATCTGAGGGAGTGGTTGGCACCTAGCCAGAAGATCGTTTTCCTGTGCTCAGAGCAAGGCTGGTGGGGGTGGCAGGGGTAGGGGGCTGCGTTGGCATTACGGCTCAACTCAATTCAAGTCAACAAACCTGTTGTGTGTAAGCCCTTGTACTCAGCGCTGGGGTTACAAAGATGAGAAATGAGAGAGTGCCTGCCCTCAGGGATCTTGCAGGCTGATAAGAGTGCTACAGGGTGGAAGGTTTCCTATGCCACAAAGTGTCAGAGGGCATTTGAGGAGGGAGAGAAGCCCTTCAGCTAGAGGAGAGGGCAAGAGAAGGAGGAGGCTCACAGAGGAGTTCATAGAGAAGGCCCATGAAGGAAGAGAGGGCTTCTGCCAGGCAGAGTGAGATAGCTGAGGCCTGGAGGCGGGAGGTAGAATTGGGGGTGGTGTTGGAGCGGACTTCCAGGAACCAGAGTGGCGGACCACGCAGTTGGCTCAGAGCCCAATTGGGAGGGGCCTTGAATTCCAGGACAAGGTGGCAAGGCCAGGCCAGTGGAATCAGTTGGGCTGCTAGAGGCTTCTCTTTGGAGACATGACTGCCTTTGCAAGCTGTGCTGATACCTTCTTCTCTCTGGTCTTACCATGCGGGAAATGGGCCTTTATACTCCCCTGGGTTGTTTCGAGATGAGGGTTACCAGAGCCTGGTTTTAAGTGCCAAGGACTTTTCCATTCCCAGCCTACCTTACTAAGGGGTCCAGTCAGAGTCATGGTTTTGCCTTTGGGCTGCTGTGGATGGCCAGCTGACCATGAGTCAGCAGCCTGTGATGGGGCAGCCATATCAAGAGAGGCCCAGCTCCCAGAGAGCCAGAAGCCTGGCATCCTTTGCCCTGGGCAGGTCAGAACTGGAAGCTGTTGCTATTTAGAAGGGATGTTGATGAGCTAGAGGAGGGTCCAGAGGAGGGCAGCCAGGCTGGGGGAGGGCCTGGAGTCCATGCCATTTTGAGGATGAAGACAACTGGGCCTGTTTAGTCTGGGGAAGGGAAGGCTTGGGACAGTTTTCAAGTGTTTGGAGGCCGGCCACATGGAAGAAAGACATCTTTTGCTTTCTCAACGTAAGGCTAGGAGCAACAGGTGGGAGGGCCAGAGACAGAGAGGCAAACGGCAGCATGCTGTGAGGAGAAGCTTCCCAGCCATTAGAATGGGCCAATCCACAAGTGAGACTAGGTTGCCTCATAAGGTAGTAAGTTCTCCATCCCCAGAGGTATCCAAGTGGAGGATAGGGTGGGGATGCCGGAGAGGAGATTCTTGCTTAGCTAAGAGTGGATCAGATGCCCTCTGGGAAGGAGGGGGTGGTCCCTGCCAGCGCCAAGTACCTATGATTTTGTCAACATTTGTTTACATGTGCCAGGGAGACAGTTACCCTTTGACCATCTGCTGCGTGGGAACTGATGGTGTGAAGCAGGATTTGGCCAAGGGTGTGCGTGAATGCACCCTGTTCTCATGGGCGTTGGTTGTTTGGGTTTCATCTTCTAGCTGGAAAGGGGCCTGGGGAGCATTGGTGGGCAGAGCTGGGCTTCTCAGTTGGGTGATTTGGGGCAAATCATTTGCCTGCTTTGGGCTTCAGGGCCTACTCTATCATCAGGTCAGGCAGAAGAGGCACTGGTCCTGCCTCCGCTCCCTTGGAGCTGGGGAAGCCACCTAAGCTCCCTGGGCCTCAGTTTCCTCATCGAGAAAAGGAGAGGAGGGTCAGGGTAGGATCTGAGGAGTTACATCCCGGATGATAAGAACGCAGGCAGCGGTGAGACTCCCTGTTTGGTTTGGTGGCTGGTGGTCGCTTTTCTGGGCTGGGCCACGGATCCTCCTTGGTCCCATGAAGGGGCTGCACTCGATGATCTCCAAGCACCCTTCCAGCTCGCACGCTCTTGGATTCTGGAGAAGCACAGAGCTGCTAAACTTGGGAGGTGCCCATCGCTCCCTTTCTCCTTCCCTGGCACAGGTTTCTCCAGGGTCAGAGGTCATTGCGTGTCGGAGCTGAAGGGAGCCTCAGAGATGATCTAGTCCAGCCCTGTCATCTTACAGGGGAGGAAATCGAGACAGCCCAGAGAAGGAGGACTAGGACAGGCTTGCGGGCCCTCTAGCTGGGCCTGGTTTCACATTCCGGCTGTGTCACTTCCTACTAGCATGATCCTGGGCAGGTCACTTTTCTGTCTCTGGGCCTCAGTTTCTTCCTCTGTAAGATGACAGGGTTGGACGAGATGACCTCTGTGTCCCTTCCAGCTCTAGTCCTCTGATCTGCTGCTCACCATTGAGTTTGAACCCCTCATTTTACAGATGGGGAGACCGAGCACTGAGCCCAGGGCCCTGCACATAGTAGGTGCTTGATAATTATCTTTATTGAATTGAATTGAGTTGCTTTGCAGCTGTGATGTTTTTACAAACCCGTTTTATTGACGCTCTTCTCAAACCAAGGCGCTGCGACTCCCCAGCGATCGCTCCCTTCCTCCCCCCCCCACCCGGAGAGCCCTCCCTTGTAACAAAGTCCGTCAAGGCAGAGCGATCCTTCCCTTCGCTGGGGCTGCCGGTGTGGCCTCACCCGGTGTGCCGAGGGGCCGGAGGCGCGGGTCAGCGTCTGTCCCCCAAAGTGGGACTGCAGTGAGCAGGGCTCTGGAGGCTTTCAGTATGGCTTTGACCTTGGCTGTACCGTTTCTAATTCTAAGCTCAGAGCCGCCTGGGGCCCCCTCACCCCACCCCGTCATTGCTCTGAGGCAGGAGTTAGAGGAGGGGGGACGGGGAGTGGGGAGGGGTGAAGGGGGAGAGAGGGAAGCTGGGGTCGGGCCCTCTGGCCAAAGAGCAGGACTGGCATGGGTTCAGGACCACCGTGGAACTCCCTGCCCTTCCCCTTTGCCCCCTGGCTTTCCTGCGCCCCATTCCCAAGCCAACCGAGCCAAGGTGCCCAGAGCCGGGCCACCCTCTGGGAGCCCGGAACTCTTTCTCTCTTGGAATGGCTGCTGCTGCCGCTGCTGCTGCCGCTGCCGCCGCTGCTGCCGCCGCTGCTGCTGCCGCCGCTGCTGCCGCCGCTGCCGCTGCTGGTGGGGGTCGCAATGAGGAGAACCATGGCAACGATGATGATGATGATGATGATGACGATGACTACGGTGGCGACGACAACGGTGAGTCCCCCTGGTTGCTCTGCAGGGAATCCCTGAGCAGTGGGCAAGGCTTCTTCAGACGTCCAACATCACGAAGCTGGAGCAGAAGAGAAACCCACAGGCCGTGCTGGACGTCCTCAAGTTCTATGACTCCAAGGAAACCGTCAACAACCAGAAGTACATGAGCTTTACTTCTGGAGGTGAGCAGCCTCTCCTTGGCGAGTCTGGGGAGCCAGGGTCTGGGTACCCTGCTGAGAGGACCCTGGGGGTAGAGGGAGACAGTCAGAAATAGTGTGGGGGGGGCAGAAGGCGGCGAAGGCATGGGCTCCGTGGGCTGGCTGCTTTATAAAGGGACCTTCGCCCTCCCTTCCTGATCCCACCGTGAGGACATACCTTAGGTGAGTAGGTAAGGGTTGGGGGGGAATCCTCAGCCTCCTCTTCTCCAGAGTAAGGACAGGCCTGGCTTTGGTCCCTCAGTGTCCTCTGCTGAGCTCAGAGTGAACTTCCTGGCCCTCCTATCTCCATTGGCAACATAAGGCCGTGCCTCCAAGGTGGGGCCCTCACCTTCTCCCTCTCTCCATGGCTTTGGGCTCCCAGCTTGCCATCCTCCTCCTGAGAGCAGGGTCAGAAGGCTTGGGATCTGGTAGTTGGGCTTACTGCTATGCATACCTGGCATTGGTTAGTCCTTTCACCTCTCTGGGGCTCCATTTTAGGGCCCTGGGGGCCGAACCGGAAGAAATGGGGAAAGTTGCAGAGGAAAATTGGAGGCTCCATGTCGAGCCCTGCTAGCAATGAGAGCTGTCCCCAGGCAGGCAGGACCCAGACTGCCTTTGGGTGTGTGGAGAGGGGAGGCTGGGTGCCCACTTGTGGGGCTTGTGGCTGAGGGGATTCCTTTGGGGGGTGAGGTCGATTGACTGGCTGCTGAGGACCCTCCAGCTCTGAGGTTCTGTGATGCAGTGAGCAAGGCTGGCACTGGGCTTAGGGCCCCCAGCACAGATGGAGATGGTGCAAGGTCCCCGACCTGCTCTTGCTGACTCAAGAGTAAGGGTGGCCGGTTGGCCCTGTAGTAAGGCCTGCAGCCTCTTCTTGTCTCTGTGCAGAGGACAGACAGGCCTGACCAGGAGGAGCCTCTTGGGGCCCTAGTTCTCTCAGAGCCCCTCCTGAGGCCCTTTCATGAGGTCCTCCTGGCCAGGGATGTACCCCAACGGGGCAAGGTCCGGGGTACCAAGCAGCTCTGGGGACTCACGTGGAAGGTTTTGTTGGTTCTTCTGCCCCCCAATATCACTGTCCTTCCCCAGTGATGACCACTCTTCTTGATACAACCCTCATGAAGCGAAAGAAGCCAACACTTTGGCCTTGGCTGACACTTTGCTGAGGGACAGGAATTCTGGTTGCGCATCAGTCCCCTGAATCCATGGCAGAGCTCTCCTGGCTTCCTTTATGCCCCCTTGAGACACTCCGATCCGCAGCTCTTCCAGCCTCAGGGGCTCCAGCTTGTTCCTGAGGCTGGGATGGAGCAGCCTTCTTGGCTCTGCCTTTTCCATTTGCCTTGTTCTCCCGGCCTGGGGTGTCTGTTTCTCTCTGTCCCAGCCTGCTGCTGCAGACCTGCACATCCCTGTCACCCTTGGGGGTGACGAGAGAAGGAAAGAGGACAGCAGGCTGGAGAGAGGACCAGGCCATCAGAGGCTGGTGAACCTGGAGAAGGGAACGCCCAGAGGCACTCTCCCGTGGAGGAGGGATTCAGCTGGTTGGCTCTCTTTGACCCTCAGGAAGAGCCAGGAGTCATGAATGGGGGAAGCTGGCCAGCGGTTCCACATTACAAAAAAGCACCGTCTCCTTCTAAGTGGCGCTGAGCTCAGAAGGCCGAGTGGGCCGGCCCGCTCCCCCCTGTCAGTCGCTGTGTGCGTTCAGCTGGGGATCGCGCTCGCTGGCCTTGGGGCTGCTGGTCAGCTCCAGCTCCCTAGTCTAAGCATCTTTGTGAGAGGCAGCTGAGGTGGCAGAGGGAGGCTCATTCCCTCCCCTCTCAGCATACTCAGTGGAGTGAAGGAAGCTTTGATGTGGCCTGGCCTCCTGGTGGGCCAAGCAGGCCCAGGAGTCTCTGAAAGCTGAAGTGGGCATGTCAGAGTCTTTAGGTCAGGGTCTTCCCTCCCGATCAGCACTTTAGGCCCCGGAAGTGCTTGGGGGGCAGGAAGCTTCTGTCCAGGCAGCTCAGGCCACTTGGGGATGGCTCTCACAGCTGAAAGCTTCCTGCTGACATCCAGCACCTACCTGCCCCTCTGTACCCTCCCTCCATGGCTCCTGCTTCTGCCCTCTTCGGCTCAACATTGAAAAATCATTTATTAAGCACCTGTTGTGTATCCTACTTCCCCCTTTGCTCCCTCCCCACTAGATAAGGAGGCACCTTTCCTTGGTTGCCTTTGAATTGTGGGTCTTGAATCATGGGCGGGGCCTGCAGTAGTGGTCCTGGGGTTCTGCAGAGGAGAGGGGCTCAGTGGTGTCTCTGCTTTGTTTTTGCTCCTTTCAGATAGAAGTGCTCATGGATACTTAGCAGCCCACCCTTCGGTAAGCGACCATTGGAACTGTTCCGCCTCATCTTCGTTTCTGCTGGGACGGGTACAAAAGATTTTAGGTGTAGAACCACAGAGACCATAGGGCTGGGCTTGGAAAACCCTTAGCGATCAGGATGTCCGATCAGGGAGTCCGTGAGGCCCAGACGGGGGCATGTATCCTGGGAGCATCCATATTTCTCAGCCAGGGGTTGATGACCTTGCAGACCTGCCATGCCTGAGGCCTTGAATGGCAGAACTGGAAGGGCCCTTAGAGACGGTCTAGTCCGACTTCTTTATTTTATCTTGTAATATTTTCAGGGGACTTTTGGTTGATGTTTTCACATCACCGGCCCCTCCCAACAAGCCCTACAGAGAACCTCCCCCCGCCCACCCTGCCGTTATAAAGGGAAGCGACTGAACCAAACAAATGGGTCTGTGTACCATAGCCGTCTGGCACAGCCATGATACCCCATCTTTCTCCTGAGGTGACCCCCCCCCTTACTGGAGGGGCTCAAAGACAGAGAAGGGACTTCTCCACGGTTACGCACCGAGCCTGGCAGATCCAGGCTGGAACCCCCGTCTCCATCATCCCCACGTGGTGGACGTCGGGGCTGGGCCGTGGTCATACTGTGGCCAGAGCATCTTCGAGATGTCCCTGGATTCACCCTGATGTTCTGGCCTCCTCCAGATGCAACCAGAGGGACCCCGCCACCCCTGGGTTGGTTGCTGCCAGCTTACCGCGGCTGTTTACCAAGCCCTCAATAGAGCCTGCGTGTTTGAGTGCATTTGACAAATTCACGTTTCTTGTTTCCTATTTCTATTGCATTGTTTATCATAGGACCCAGGACTGTCAGAGTTGGAATGGACCTCAGAGGTCATGCAGTCTAACCTCCCACCTAGGGCCGAGCATCCCCAATAGGTGGTCGGCTGGCCGGCCGTGAAGGGGAAATCGCTACCTCCTGGCATAGCCTGGCCCATTTCTGGACATCCCTGATTGTTAGGAAGTTTTTCCTGAGGTTGACTAAAACTCTCTCCCTGCATAGCTCCCCCTGCCCACTTTGGGCCCACTTTGGGCCTAGCTCTGCCCTCTGGGGCCAAGCAGATCAAGCCTGATTCCTCTGCCCCATAACAGCCCTTCACATCTTTGCATGTGTTTGATTTCCATTGCAAAACTCACAGCCCCAGTGCATGGTGATAATGCAGTTCTTAGGGGTGAATCAGGGCCCATATTAAGGAGGCGAATGTGTTTTAACCGCGGCTGTGGCCACTCTGGGGTAAGATGCTATTGTCAATGATCCACAGCAGACTTTGATTCCAAGACCAGCTTCCCTCTGTTACCTGGATACCTCAGCTGCCGAGGGAGTGAAGGCTCAGGTAAACATTGGAATCAAACCATATAGCCAGAGGATGGCTAAGCTAGAAGGGGCCCGAGAGACCATCTCGTTCACTTTCTTGCTGATATGATGGGTGTGTCCTGCTCACTAATGTGAGACACAATTAAGAGCAAGATTGAAAGAACTACAAACACCTAAGTATGACAAGGTACCCCCACTCACTGACCTTTCATGGTTCATAGAATGACAGAATGTCATTCATTCATTCAGCCAATATGACAATGTGCCTACTCTGTGCAGACCCCCAAGCTGGGTTAGAGGCCAGATTTTGAGGCAGTGTGATTGTGGAGGCAAGGTCACTGGACCAGGAGTTGGGGAGACCTGGGTTCAAGTCCCACTTCTGAATGACTAGGAGTGTGTCCTTGGGTAAATTATTCAATCTCTCGTAGCCTCAGTTTCCTCATCTGTAAAATAGGGATAGTTGTACCCGTAGTACTTGCCTCATGGCATTGTCGAAAGGGTCGGTTTAGAAAATATTTGTTAAAATGCTTTGCAAGTCTTTGAGAGCTCTGTAAAAGCCAGCTCTTGTTAGGTAAGGCATGGTGCTTCAACACAAGCCTGGAGAGTTAGAATTTCCTTTAGTAAATGTGTGCATTGGAGGGACACAAAACTAAGCGATCTCTGAAGAGGAAGGGCGTGACCACCTGGGGAGACAGGTGACAGCTTCTTGGAGGTGACTAGAGGCCACAGGGGGTGGGGGGGGTTGGGAACAGAGAGGGACTAAGTGTAGCTGGAGCACCGAGTGCATCTAAGGGAGGGGGAGGAGAGAAGGCTGGCAAGGCAGGACCCCGAGCTGGGGAGGACCTTGAAAACATGGCAGAGGAGTTTGTCCAACACGACACAGAAGGGCCCTCAGAGACCCTCTGGTCCAACCCTTCTCATATTACAGAGGAGGAAACTGAGACCAAGGGAGGGGACATGAGATCATATTTGTAAAGCGTTTTGCAAATCTGAAAGTGCTATAAGAATGCCGCTTATTATTGAGGTTATTATGATGCTTTATATTGTTATTGTCCCGAGTCATTTCCATAATTGCAGACATGAGATTAAAACCCAAGTCTTCTGGCTTCCAGGCCAGGACTCTTTTCTCCTTCCTGGTGCTGCCTCCCGTATCAAATAGCTTTGCTGTCTTTAAACGCAAAGACAATTAATTGTGTTGGTTCCTTCAGGGGAAAAAAATTCCCTTTTAACTTAACGTGTTTGGTTTACTTAATTGTCTCAATGCTCTGTTGTTTCTCAGCTCTGTATTTAGCCTCTCTCTGTACTTTGGGCACATGTTGCAGTGGAACAAACCCTGAAGTAGGAGTTAGGAGACCTGGCACTGACTTGGACAAATCTCTGTAACATGAGGTCCCTGCCAGTTCTGACAATCTCTCATTCTATGAACTGTGAAAGACCAGGTGTACCTCATTGTACCTAGGTATTTGTAGTTCTTCGAATCTTGCTCTAGACCGTGTCTCATATTGGGGAATGGGATTCATCCATTGGGAAGGGGGTGGACTTGGGGGTCTCTAAGGCCCCTTCTGGCTCAGATGTTTTTTAATTCTATATTTTGAATCCAATGTTAAAATGACATGTCAATCTCTTTGCAAAAATTCCTGCCTATGGGCCAGCATGTCTGTTGAAATGTGTAATTGCCCCTATTAGAAGAAGAAAGATAGGGAATGATTTCATACTGAGTACTTAGATAACGTTTGCATTGGTAGAGTACCAAAACAGCTTCAGAACCTCCCTTGGCTCCCCCGGTGTCTGAAGAAGAAGATGAAGATGAGGAAGAGGAGGAAGAGGAGGAGAATGAGCCCCCACCAGTAATTGCGCCGCGCCCCGAGCACACAAAATCTGTAAGTTGCCCTGAGCTGTCCAAAGCCCTGATTGGGCACCGTCTGTGTGCCCGGGCCTGTGGGAGGTACTCACTGGGAGAGGGCTGGTAAGTAACGTGCTGTGGCATGTCCTCAAGGGTCTTGTACCCTCACTCCACAGGAAGCTGGACTAGAGGTCAGTGGCACCAAGTGCTCTTCCGGACCGTTCTGGTTCCTCCCCCGACCAATGCAGAGCCCCAGCTCTTGGGGGGTGGGGGAGGGGAGCCTCTTTGTCCTTGGTTAGCCTGGGCCTTGCTGGGCCTGTCCTCACGGGCTTTCTGGAAGAGAGTGAGAGCTCAGGGTCATTGCCACACTCAGATGTGGGCTGTTGGTCACTTTGGTGGTTATCCTCTCTTAACTTCCTCCTCTGAGGCCACAAATCAGAGATGCCATGTAAATGCCTTGTTAATACATGAAGAAATGTTGGCCAAGTGATGTTAAGTGCCTTTGACAAGGTCACACAGCTAGCAGGTGTTCAAACTCAGATTCTGTTGGTGTTCAGAGAAGGGAAGGGGTCAGCATGGGCTGGAGCAGCCTGGGAAGGATTCTGTAAGGGCTGGAATTCCAGGCCAGACCATGTCAGATCAGGGAGGCTTGAGAGAGGCAGAGAGACTGGAACTTGGGGATTTCCTAGAGAGGTAAGAATAAGGGCCTGGGGGAAAGGGGTTGAGGGGGGCGCTATTGACCCAGCATATCTTTCTTTTTAAAAGAAAAAAAGTTTTCTTAGTGTTTTTCTTTTTTTTGTTGTTGTTGTTTTTTTTTTTTTTTTTGGCAATGCAGTTAGGATTAAGTGACTTGCCCAGGGTCACACAGCTAGTAAGTATCAAGTGTCTGAGGCCAGATTTGAACTCAGGTCTTCCTGACTCCAGGGCTGGTGCTCTATCTACTGCCCCACCTAGCTGCCTCCATAGTTATCACTTCCTGATGGACATTGCGCTCCCTCCCCTCCAAACCTTGCCAAGTACAGTTTAGCAAAATGAGTCAATCCAATAAGGTCATGCCTTGTTCTACGCCCATAGTCCACCACCTTTCTGATGAGAGATGAGGGAAAGGCTGACGAGCCCCTAGATCACCAGTTGGGAGGAGGGACCTCAGACCACCTTGGTTGTCAGCACGTTTTTCCAGAGCCAGACCACTTGAGACCAAGCGTGTGAAGTCTACCACACTCCTTTGCCCAGTAGCTGCTTTCCCAGGAAACGTCTCTTCATGGCGGTTCTGCGTGTCTTTCAGATCTACACGCGCTCTGTGATGGACGCCGCCCTGCCAGTGGCTCCCCCCAAGGAGGCGTCTGCCCCCACGGCAGAGAACTCCCCCTCCAACACTCTGTATCGCAACGCCGACCGGCAGAGAAAGAAGTCCAAGATGACCGATGAGGAGATCCTGGAAAAGCTGAGTGAGTGCTCGGGCCCCCCTCCCCCCGGCTCTCTGGCTGGAGGGGGTGGGGAAGAACTGATGTTTGTCACTCAGCTCGTAACACCCTCAATGGGCCAACCTCCTCCTCTTTGTAGCATCCCAGGCTCCCAGAGCTGGGCCATAGAGTCATGGGATTTAGAGACGGAATCAGCTTCCCTGTTATGTTACAGATGACGAAACTGAGGCCTAGAGAGGTCATAGTGCCGCAGATTTAGAGCTGGAGGGGACCTCAGAGATCATGTAGTTCAGGGTTCGGCAAACTAATCTGACCCCTCACCTG